ATAACTTGCAAATTTCATACCAAAAATATGACATAAAAAATTTAAAGATTGGAAACAACTTTATTAATGACAAATGAGAAATAGATGTGATGATGATACAACTATGAACTGTGAAGCAGATGCTACACTGAATATTGATAAGTACTTGAAATTACATTCAGTATTCTGATACGAAAAGTATAATTGTCGAAATAAGCTATTATAACTCTAACGTCTTCAGTTAGATGGAAGAAATCCCTCAGAGTTTCCCATCCGTCAAACAACACCGGAGCTAAGACATATCCATTAAAATGCATGACATGGTTATGGCCGTTACGATCATAAACATTCCATCTCGCTGGTAAACTGCGTATGAATTCTTGCACAAATGTAGGATCAATTTCACAATATAGTATTAATAGCGAGAATAAATGAAATATGAAAAATGTACTTCTAGTCTAAGATGCCACAATATAGTATTAATAGCGAGAATAAGAAAAACATATTAAAAATTTATTGTGAAATAATTTTTTAAAATATTATCTCCCGTGTAATGTGTGTGGTTGTAAAAGAACCAAGGCTCCTCAGTTTTTCACATCTAATAAAAAACTTTCTGTTTCCTTTATACTCAAAATAAACTTTATCCAGTATGTCAAGTCCCATAAGGTTTACGACAATTTTTCAACCGTTTTTTTATATAGACGGCGTTGTGATGTTTAGGTCGCACAGTAATAAAAAATTATTTCCACAAGCATCGTAGGCATGCCATTCATTTTCCAGTTCGAGAAAAAAGTGGTTCAAAAAATTCAGAGGGACTTGGACGTTTGTCTTACAATAATATGAATAAAAAAATTAAAACATAGTTAGAATCAGGTTATATTAAAAAATGAACCATCAAAAATAATTTATATTCAGTATAGTACGTAATTACCTCTGTAAATGTGTCAATGTGACTCCATGTGGTTAGTGTTGGCTGTGTGTGTATATTATGTATTGCTACTGACATGCTTGATAGTTGAGGATGGGGAGAAAATGTGAGTGAAAATGTTGAAATCCTACTTATAATGCTTCTCTTAAATTGAGAATCAGTACAATTTTTTTTTTTACAAAGGAGCGAAACCAACACGCGTAATATTAATGTTATGATTTAAATCAAATGGTGCGCATTTATTAAAATACACATGAACAAAGTATTTTGGTAGATCAATGGCCAGGATCACATTGCGATAACATCTCTTTCCCACGCCCTTTCCAATAAAGCTCATTGATTGGTTAAATCATTATTAATTTGATACTGATAAGATATTGTTTCTTCAAGTCATAATAAATGTGTTGCAAATCTTTAGCGGTCAAATCCGTATCGCTTCATCACGTGTTCCTAGAACTATGTGTATGCGTTGAAAATATTTAAACGGTATAATCTTTAAACAGAACAATCAAAGCTATTATGTCAGAAATAATGGGAGTAGGTTAACTGTCACCTGTAGATGCAAGACATGGAAAATTCCAAATGGCGCTTTGCATGGGGATAGAGATTTAAAAAATATTATTTGTTGTTTTATAATGGATTTTGTAATAAAAATGTGATGCTTTATTATATGATTCTCTTTAAAATTTGAGGGCAACATTTTTTTATAATATTATTATACTTGGATCCTATTAAAATCAACTGACACAATATTTTTTTTATTGACAATTAATTTTAATAGGGTCCCACAAGTGAATGTAGAGTTCAAGTATAATACTAATGTGTACTTCACTTCAACAACTCAAATATGGGTTACACAGTTGGGGATGCTCAATTTTTTTATTTAGCATAAACAAAAGGTTTTCCATTTGAAGTAATATTTTCTTCTTCTTACCTATATTACGTATGGTCCTTAACATAAGAAGAAAAAAATTATTTTTTAGATTAATTGGAAAATTAATGTCTCTGAAGTACATATATTTTTGATATGTTAGTTTCGATACATTCATTCTTCAACGAATCTAAAAAACAAACTATTTCTTATTTTGATGAATAAAACTTTGTTAGAGGGAAGTTTGTTGTATTAGGTTGGAAATTATTGATACGGGGGTTATGATGGTCCAAAAAAAATTTGTTCAATATTTGAACATGTAAATATTGACAACCAGGGGTCCTAGAGAGTGTTTGGGAGAAGCGGTGGCACAAGGTACCAACTTTTTAGGGGCACCAATTATTTTACTAGATATACATTTTATACTTTTCAATTTTAATGTAATTTTATACTTTTGTTTACAATTATATATTTATAATTAAATGACTTATAAACCTGGTAAAAAAATATGAATTAAGAAAAAAGGGCACCATATTCATAATTTTGACAGACACTCGAGATCTCGGGGACGGCCGTGAAACCCATGATAAAGAATGTTGTGTGTTTGTTTATTACTAGTAGTATTTATCAGATGGACCTTTCTTGGTGGCAACCGGTAGAAGAAAGAACACAAGTGTTGTTTTGTTTCCATTTGGATCTACATTTCTAAGTTTATTGTTTTTTTTTTGCTTAGTTTTCAATGTAGTGGTTAAAATGTAGCTTTTATTTTTCTTAATTACGAAAAAAATGTGTAACTTTGTTTTGTTAGTTTTTTATTACTTTCCCAATGTACTATTGATGCCAATTGATGGGTCTTGCCGAAATCATGATTATTTTGTATCACAAAATGGTTTCGGCCGAAATCATGATTATTTTCTCAATTTAATGTGATTTAACTTATCAATGTCAATTGATGGGTGATTTAACTTATCAGTGCCATGTCATTTATAGAAAACCTCAAGGGTTTTGAGTGTAATAATTATAGTCATTGAAATTGATTATTGATATGACATTTGAATGCAATGGTAACATTTGAAGCGCATACACCGTTTAAATGAAACGGTATATAACCTATGTAACCCTAAACCCTAATAGTTTATAAATAAGGAGTGACATGTATTATCAATCCCCACCGTTCCATCTTAATCTCCAAAATCCTACTCACAAAATCATAATGGCTTTGGCTTTGCGTTCCACCGCCCAAATCAGAGCTAGCAGAGCATCCCGGTCTCACGTTCACGAGAGGCGTCAGGTGAAAGTTTCCTACAACAGTGTATTTAATTTTATTTATGAACTTTATTGGTTAACCGTGTTCATTCTAATGTAGAAAGATTTTAAATTTTATTATTGCAGAGCAAGTTAGTCGTACCACTGCCGTTTTTAAATGATAACCTAGATGACTTAAAAAAGGAGTGACATGTGTACCATGATTTCGGCCGGAACCATTTTATGTTGGAATGTGATATGCACATGACAGAGCCGATGGTTAGACGAAAAGGCTGGCAGGTTATAATTAACACTATGGAACTCGAAATACGGGATGTGGTCCATTTCAACTACAAAGGTAATATCGTGTTCACTATTAGTGTTGAAAGACTCAAATGTTTGGGCTCATTTGTCACGGTCATAACAAACTGCAAGGTAACGTATCACGTATCCTGGCTACGTCGATTGTATTTAAAATCTCTGTAATACCATATCTGATATTTGCTATGCAGTTAGAATGATGAGTAGGTTTATGAACAAATCAAAGTGGTCATATTACCAAGATACTGTTAGGATACTGAGGTATTTTAAGGGGACTCTTAGGTATGAAATTTTGTTCCATTATAGTATTGAAACTCATTCAGAGCAAATGTGTTATTCAGACTCTGATTGGTGTGGAGACAGAGTTGACAAAAGAAGTACTTATGGATATTTTCTCAAATATCTTAGAGGTCCTATTTCCTGGTGCTCTAAGAAGCAACCAGTTGTTGCATTGTCAACTTGTGAAAATAAGTACATTGTAGGTGCTTTGACTGCTTGTCAAGCTGTGTAGGTTCTGAACTTGTTATAGGATTTAAAGATTAAGGTGAGCAAGCCTATGATATTGATGATTGTCAATAAATCAGCTATAAGTCTTGCCAAGAATCTAGTGAAGAATGGAAGGAGCAAGCACATTGACACAAAATTTCATTTTCTGAGAAACCAAGTTCAGAATGGTGTGCTTGAAGTTGTGTATTGTGATACTCAGAAGTTGTGTATTGTGATACTCAGAAGCAGTTGGAAGATATCCTGAACAAAGCAATCAAGACTGAACACTTCATCCAACTGGAGGATAGAATTAGTGTTGTTGGTTTTGATTAGCTAAATATGAATTAAGATATGTTGTTAGATTTAATTCATTTTCATTTGAGTTGCATTTAACTTGCATTTGAATTTCATTTATGTTCTAATTAGTATATATAAACCAAGTGTGATTTAGTTTGTAGTGTGTTCATTCATTGTAACTATTTTTTCAATTCTATTATAAAGTTAGTTAAAGAGATTCCTCTCTCTTCCTCTTCCATTTCCATCATTTTCATCCTTTTCCTTCTTACGCACCAACATCTTTAAAAAAAATGCTATAGTAAAGTTGTTAAAATAATTTGTTTTTGGTTTAGTTATAATTCTGGTGAATCAACAAATAATATATAATAAATAAATAATACCACTAAAGATTATATGGTGTATATTCACTGCGTATCTTCATATTTATTGATATATTAAATTTAAAGTATTTAGTTCATTCAATATATTATTTTAACTTTAAAAATTAAAATAAAATAAAATAACAACTTCATTTTCTTTCTCTAACATATACTCACATTCATCTTCGAATGACAAGAAAAACAATTTTCTTATAAATTGTATAGAAGAAACACACGTTTCATATTTTCACATTCAATCTCTCACACTCTATGCCATTGTATTACGAGAGAACTAAATCAAAACATAGAAAGAAAAATGTAGAGAAATAAATAAGCACATAGAGGACAGGTGAACGTGTTGTATATCCTAAAATTATTCTCATACATATTTTTAGAAAAATAGAAATGCAAGCGATTTAAACAAAAAAGACACGTCATCATCATCTTCATCCTCTATATTCCTATCTATCTATCTATTCGTCAGAGCCATTGCAGTACCACACAAACTCACACAATGCTACTGTCCATGGCAATTTCATCTGTACCTTTTCTTCCTTCATTTATCTCTTCTACTTCTCCACTATCCTTTTCACTTTCACCTTCTACTACGAAAACTCTCCGAAATACTTCCTTCAAAATCAAAAGCCTTAAAACCGAAAGAGAACCGTCTTCATCCGAGCCAAATCCAGGTTTCGATCCTAAATCTGGTGTATCCGTTTACAAACCTAAATCCTATCAAGTTCTCGCCAATGACGCTGCTAATTCCCTCGCTTACGCTCTTCAAGACGGAAAACTTCGACTCGAGATCGATTTCCCGTATGTCTTATTCGCTTTCACTTACTCAATTTCAAAATTCAGTGCTATAAAACTATGAAACTTGTACTTTGAATTACTTATAACACTCATTTTATGTTCATGCTGCATAATCTATGGTTACTATCAGAAAATAGAAATGATTGAGCTTAATCATATATCTTCACAACTATGCCGATATGGAATTAATCTTATCACCGTGGTTGCATTCTGGATATTATGAAAATTTATGGATAAATGTTGAGCAATCCGTTATTCAAAACCTTTATTTTACGGCTGTGGAGTCGCTGATTGCAATTTAAAACTATGCTTATTGCGAATTTGAATTCCATGCATTAGCTAGAAGCCGTTTGATCAATATTTTAATCCAACATTGGATGGATGACTTTGATTTTAGTTCAACAAATCAACTTTGAAAGCAAATTTGAAATTGAATCAGTCATATCTTGGTTAAACTTATTTTGAAACGAAGGAAATAAGAATTACAAAGCTCTAGAACATAGGGTGCCCGAGTTATCAACTACGAAGCTGAATAGCAAAAATTAGGAACATTTCCAAAGCTATGCTGTTGGATGAGCTACTGACTATGTGAAGAGAGACAGAAAGAAAGAATAGTTAGTTAAGAGAGATAGAAAGTGTTTAAGTTGTAAGGTAGCATAGATGAGTTGAATCTCTGATTCATTCTCATTGATTTTGATTCAAAAGCTCAAATTCTTTACAAGGAGAGGAAGCACTATATATATAGAGTTAGTTGAAGTTGGTTAGGCTCTAACAAAACCTAACTGCCATAACCACTTCTAACTAACTTTTTTAATAACATAAAACTTCTTCTAACTAACTACCAAAAGTAATGTTTGTAATAGAAAGAAAGTTACCAAATATAGAAAATTGAAAGGTGGAATCTCTCTCCGTCCTAAACTCAATGTCTGGAACTATTTATACTCTCCGAATTTGATATTATTTATTATAGTCAATATTTATCTATGGAGAGGAAAAAATGAGTAACCGAATCTTCAACATTTTTCAAATATGTAATTCAAGCTTAGTATAAGCTAATCCAAGCGCAATAAGAATATTTTGCTTGTGGTTTTTATGTGGTACTCCATTCATGATTTTTTTTGTTCACGTGGTTTTGTCTGCAGGCCTTTGCCCAGCGACGTTTCTTCATATAAGGTACTATTCTTTGCTCTTGCGAAGCATTACTTTATCACATGACTAATTATTTTCAGTTTTGTTCCTTCATTGTTAGTGTATAGGTGTATGCTTTTGGAGAGACTAGTAACTTACAACTACTAAGTTTAAACAATTAGCTGGTTAAATTATACATTTTCAAATTATTGGTGATCTTGTTGTGTGCAATACCGGCTCTTAATGTCTCTGTTCATCTTCTACTATTTTAGACTAGCAGTGTATTTCAACATGTTAGTCATTTTTGTGGCTTTTTATATCTATGCTAATCTGATGGGCTAAGTTGATTTCATTTCCATGCTTCAAGAAACTGTTCTGATTGACTGGTACTTGACGTTTTTGAGGCATGCTTATCTTTGAATATGTTGCACATAATTTTCTCAAACTCCTAAATGTTTCAAGGGATCTTCAGATGATTTCATCGATGCCAACATTCAACTTGTCTTGGCTGTTGTAAAAAAGCTCCAGGAGAAAAAAGAGTCCACAACTTGTATAGTAAGAAAGCACAAATTTCTCTCTTTCCTTTCAAAGCAACAAGCACTTCTTTTCACATATAAACTATGCTTTTTTTGGAGATGTTACATTCCGGCTTTTTGTTGTAGGTATTCCCTGATAAGCCAGAAAAGCTCCGAGCCTCTAAGTTGTTCAAAGCAGCTCTTGATTCGGTAATGAAAATTTTATTATGAATCTATTCCCCATTTTTCTAATGAATCGATTCCTACTTAATTTGTGGCCTTTTTAAAAAAATTGCTATAAAATGATCACACTTGTAAACTTCTAAAATATTTGAACTATATACCTTCAAGAATGAAGATACCATAGTCATATTGAAGCCTTTCATATTTTGAAGTTTAATTTTTGTTTTTGCTTCAAGGTTGATGGCATTACTATAGGTTCATTAGATGATGTCCCCGCAGGACCTATGGCTTCATTTTTCCGATCTGTTAGGAACACCCTTGATTTTGACTTTGAAGATGAGAATGAAGGTTAGCTCCTTGGGGAAAATTACTTGACACATTTATTGGTTAAACTTTGTTTCTGCGTAAAACATGCATGATAAAAATTATATTTTGACAATTAAATTTTTTAGAAGTGCAGGTCGATGGCAATCTAGTGAGCCTCCATCACTCTATATATTCATTAACTGCAGTACACGTGAACTTGGTTATATTGAGAAGTATGTGGTATGGTGCCTCTGCTATTATTAGAAGGTTTCCTGAAATTTTTATCTTTTCATTTCAAATCTTTGATGTGAATGTGAAATTTTACTGTTATCCACATTAGCTTGGTCTTAAATTCTTAGGAGTAATTTGTTTTGTTCATTTGCGATAAATAATGTGCGATAATGCTTGACTTGAGTTTATTTCATTTGATTTTGGGACAGCATGCAAATTTCTGCAATTTATTGAGATTAATTTCTAAGTCTACTGACACAACCTACTCTTAGCTCATGGTCGGCGCACAGACCAATACTGGTTTAGTACTCATTTATCATGGCAAGGCTAAGGATAGAACCACACTAAGAACATTTAAGAAACAACTAAGGGAGCTATCAAAAACTGGTAGGTTTGCCCCTGTATTTGCTGCGCTCCAAAATAATAGACACCCACCAATAGCATAGTATAACCCAAAAGAAATAATTGATCCCTATCCCTATAGCTGTATTATACAGAAGTCGACAAAATATCACCAATTGACCACACAACTTGATCCCTATCCCAACAACTGCATTACATATTTCATTTCAACTGTGCGTTGCTATAACTAGGCCTGAAGTGATAAAATTTGGTGTAGCCTCTGGTTTTGACTTTTGATGACCTTTGTTGATAAAATGTGAGTTTCTTAATATGGACAGTCAATCAATTTTATGTGATTGAACATTATTTACTTTTTACTGGTTTTGCCTAGTTGTTTAATTTGATGTATATATCTTCTATTACTACGATTTTGCAGGAAAAATTTGCTCCATCAACACCAACACTTTTATTTAATCTTGAGCTAGATACACTGCGGTATATATGTTGTACACTTTTTTCTTTATTGGATTTTTCACACGTACCTTAATCCTTAACTACTTCGTATACTTGTGTTTGACGATTATGAAATATTGAATTTACAGTGCTGATTTAGGCATTCTAGGATTCCCAACCAAAGATTTGCACTACCGCTTTCTTTCTCAATTCACTCCCGTGTTCTACATTCGGATCAGAGATTATTCAAAGGTACCCCTTCTTCAATGGATAGTCTCTAGATATTAATCATTTTCTCAAATAATAGGCATTGACTGTAGTTTTTCTATTTTCTAGACAGTTGCAGTAGCACCTTATATTGTCAATTACAGTGGAGCTGTGTTCCGCCAGTACCCTGGTACAACTATAGCTATTTATTTATATGCTATCTATACATACATGCATTTATGCGTGCATGCACCACACACTTATCGTAATTATTTCTTCCTATTAATACTAATATGTGATATACAAATGCAATATTAATATTAATATTTACTAAAACTAAACTGAAATATAATGCTGCTAAGAAAAGTTGTCGTAAAAGTATGATAAACTACTGTTTTTTACCAAGTTATTTAATATTAACAACACACCTTGAATGGAAGGTTGCATTTCTAATTTTTGTAACAACCTTAGTTGATTTTCTACAAAAGAACGTGATTACGAATTTCCTCTTTTTCTTATTAGTTTTTAAATTTCAATGCTTTATTGACTTGGCTAAATTCCTTGGCTTGAAGTGAATCACTTAGATTAATCAAAATCTGGCTGAGTTGTCCTTACCCTTTTCCGGTGCATATTACATGGTAACGAAAGGTGAGATATCCATTTTACTTTAAAAAAAACAAGGCATCCATGTCAAATTATCAACAAGTAAAAGAGACGATATCGATATTCATTCATGTATGGATCTGAAAAAGTGTAATTAGTCAGCAGTTGATACCGGAGTGCTATTTTATGTTTTGATTCTTATTCTATGACAAATATGCTTTTATTTGCCAACGATTTGGATGATGCACTAAAATTTCTTCATCAAATGTTCAGGTCCCTGGCAGGTGATGCTTAAACAACCTGATGGTTCTTTTGCTTGTATAGCAGAAAGTGCAACCCGCTTCACCCTTGGTGAAGTAAATTCATGAACTTCACCTTATATTTTTTATTAATTGTGAATACTCGCATAGTAATCGGTTATCTACTGGCTTCTCCAGGCAAAAGAAGAACTTTTGAGGGTTCTGGGACTTCAAGAAGAGGAGGGAAGCTCTCTAGAATTTCTACGAAGAGGCTATAAGGTTTTCTCTTTTACTTAATCAGTTTCTTTTAATTTTATGCATGCTTGAGCATGTTTCAACTTCAGTTATTAATCTGTTACCTACATTATGACATTTCAGTCAAGTACGTGGTGGGAAGAAGATTTTGATTTGGAAGCATCTTCTGCATGGCGCAGCTGAGTAGAACACTACCAAGAGAGATTCTTTGTTGTATAGTTCATCCACATGCAGTGGTCGTATACATATAATGCTCACACGCAGAGAACGAAGGCATTGCCTGCTAAATCCTTTTTTTTAGAATATTCTTTGATGTAATGCTTTTGCCAAAGAAATACAAAATCCTTGCAAACTAAAATTGTAACAAGATTCTGTGTTTAATAATACAATGAAAGACACTAGCAGCAATGTAAATGTATAATAACACAATTGGTCCTCATAAGCAAAACAGAACTTGATCAGTCTTCATTATCGAGAGCACTGAAGTCAGGTTCTGGGGGTTTCGGGATACTCAACAGGTTATTGGAACTTGGCATTCGATGTCTATAACCACGAATATTAGCAGCAAAGCGAGAAGCATAAACTGTTGTATTAATTCCAAATCTTGACGAATTTTGGGCTTGCGGAACCAAAGCCCTTGTAGATTCATCAATTCCTTCATAGTATTCTTCTTCTTCTTTCCTTCGCCTTCTCTTTAAATGCTTCCTCCATGCAGCTTGAATGTAGATTGCAGCCCATGTTCTCCATTGTTGCGAGTAGAAACGGAAGGTATGCTGAACCTGTCTACTATGTATGTGTCTAAATTGTGATGCAACAAACTTTAACTCCTCTGCTTCTAAAGCAAATGCCTCTACTTCACTCATAGCTTTCACTGTTCTAGTTGATGATGGCAAGTTGGCAGCCGATTTTGGATCCAATGCCCATGTTAACAACTCTTCGCCACAGAAATCACCTTCCTTCAAAACTCCTCTGTTGAAAAAGCCACTTCTTCCACCATCTGTAGTAACACTCTCTAGACGACCACGGATGATGAACAACATCTCATCAACTGGATCACCTTCCCTAACTATGTAAGTTTTCTCTGTATATAAACTCGGTTTCAATCGCTCACATATTGCATCAAGCAAGCGTTCGTCCATGTTAGCAAATAGAGGAACCTAAATAATATGGAAAAATGAAGCCTTAGAACACTTTTTTGTGTTACAAATTGCAATGAGTCATCTCAGAAAGCACAAGCTAGTTTGCTCACTCAGTACTCACCCTTCTGACCAAATTCAAACAAAGATGACGTTTGATATCTCTTCTGAGATCTTTTGGAAGACTCTGAACCAAGTTTTCTTCATCTACTCCACGCGTGTTCAACCACTTGTATTGGTCATAACGTCTGACTCTTTCCCTTAGCTCCGAAGGAAGCAAGCGATGATGCATCCATTGCTCAGAATCACGCCTTTTGATCCTCATTTCCTCCAGACGAACCGACATAGATTGAAGGTAGGTCTATCCAATTACATTATAACGCAAAGGTTAAAGTATTATATTAGCCAAGATGCTATAAATCAAAGTTTACAGTGAATATTTTTTGTTTACCTGCATGTTTCCAATCAGAAGAGAAAAAAGAACAAGTCCCATAATAGCTATTACTATGGAAAACATAACCTCACCAGGATAGGTACTAGTTAGAAGCCCCTGACCAAGTGTACTGTAAAAAACAAAACCAAGTGATTAAGATTGTAAAATTTGGGAACACATAGCTATGTTTCAGGGTCGAAATCGAGTTTGGGCATGCAATAGCCCCTGACCAGAAGATACATGATTTACATCAAAAACCGAGATGTATGCATCGCACCCGCCAATGCACTAGCATAGTTCTAAAGAATCAAACAAGGAATATACCTCAAATTCTGAAGGCCCCACCATAGACAGTAACAAAATTTAGGGAAGACTTGTATGGAAGCGACAATATCAGACTCTATAGCTTGAGAGAAGATTCCATAATTAAAAGCTGAGTTACCATCTTCAACAAAGCATTTGCTTTTAAGAACAGATTCACTCATATTTCTCCATTTTTCATACCCTCGTATATGCTTACTTGAACTTCCACAATACAAAAAATGCGAGTTACATCCTATAACTTCTTTACATGCATTCTTCCAACACGTGTCGTTACGTTCTATGGCTAGTAAGTACCAGACAGAACCCGTAATCTACAAAATTATAGTCAGAGAAAAGAACATCTTACTTCAAATCTCAGTAAATCGAAACTTGTTTTAGAAGACAGACTTACATGGCTAGCGAGCATATACCAAATCAAATAGTACATAGCACCAAGCAATGCATTTTCAGAGAAAACACCAGCTGTCTTTTTAACTTCCGAAGCCAATGGTATAAATCGTACAAATCTTGGTAAGTATTGCATGATGACATTTCTCAAAAGCGATGTTTTTGTATCCAAAACTTCCATACGTCGTGAACTATAAAGATATTTCCATACTACAGCCTGCAAAAAAATCAACACGTTTGAGCGAAAAATTCCAAATCTTATTTGATTATTATATCACAAGTAGTAAGTATCTCAAACCTGTGGGAATGGTAGTATAGACAAGAAGTCAAAAATGAAGTAGCGTTGTAAATATCGTTTCGCGATCAATGCAGGATCTATGACAAGTTCACCTCTTCCAAATACTCGAGACGAAGGCGCGATGAAGGCAGTGCGAAATTGGAAACTTATGCGCAGGAGATAAACGCAATCACATATTGTTCTCAATGTAACAATAAAACTCGCCAGCTTGTTATCTATTGCTAAGCAAAATGATTTGTGGTTGAAATAAGGAAGGTAAAAAAAGAAAGGATCACAAGCTACTGAAATAATGCATAGAATCTCGAAAAACTTGTTCCAATACAGAAGATTCTTATCTTGAGGATCAAATACTTTTTTCTGTGACACTTTAAGATCTTCGGGAAAAACCGACCAAGTGACTCCACTTTTGATTGATCTTCCAATATTTTTTAGTCCATCTGATCCCCTCTTCACGCCAAACCGAAATGATTTCGACGTGTTTTTTTTTCCGCGACCCGGAATCGGCAAACCGTTTATATTAAATCTTAATTTCTTCATCACACTTGAGCTAGATTGTTTTGACGAATTCGAATCCAAATCATCCAACCTGCATCATCCACAATAAATTAGACTTAGAGATGCTTATGTTAACAACTTAGATTAAGCAAACCCTAAACCTAAAGCGAAATCAAAGTTTAAGCCATAATCTTAAATTAACCAATCAAATCAAGTGGTTAATGACGAATCGATTGAAAATACACCCGAGTACAAGTTCTTGCTGATTTTACTTATCTCTCATAACCGAACTCCAGATTACTAGAGTCGTTGATAAAAAACGAAAGTACTAATCATATTGATTATGTTAAAAAAAATGGAACATTGAAATACCTCACAAATTTCTCTTTCTGACCTCCAATATATTGTGACTTGTAACCAGAATCAAACATTGTGAAGAAAGTAACATAGAGATCTCCCAGAAATACTAGATATATCTAGCAATTTCCTGTTATATGAAATTCATACAATGCATAAGCTCTAGTAGAATATGAAATTCATACCATTACAATGCAAGAAAAAAAAAAGTGAAATAAGATAATCCTTACATAATAAAGCGATTATAAAATTACACACAAGGAAACCTTGAAATAAGTTTTGTATACATGAAATATGTCACTTTTTTGGTTTGAACAAACTACGTTGTTATAAACCTTTATTGATCATAACAATGATGATGAAATGATTTAAAACACAATCCTCTAATTTATGAAAGATGAAAAATTGGAATGAAAAGAGATTCTCTAAATTTAAAATGGAAAAACTTACTGAGAGAATGTTCGCGGGTGTTCACAGGAAAAATATGGTACATTGGTTTTTCTAGGGAGGGAAAAGAGAATGGAAGAGGGAGAAACCTTGTCAACATGTTTTTCGGATAGATTTAGGAACATTATAAAACAGTTATGACGGTTACATGGTTCATTTTGCTATTTTTGGAGTTATGACCGTTAAAGAATAAGCATGTGAAACACATAAAAACAAAATTTTACCACTGACCAATTAAAACAAAAAAGAATACATATTTTTTATTTATTTTGAAAATGTAATTTTTGCGTGAAACAAAATAGAGGAAAGTTGAGGTTTTTGAATGATTTGTTGTCAATGGAAGAAGGTCCATTATACCCTTTCTACTATGAATATCACATTTCTTGAAGAATATTTAATGAATAAGTTGAAGAATATTTCAAAATCCAGAAAACTGGTTTAGTTTACCATTTTTATAAAATATCAATTTTTCACATCATTTGTCATATAACCAAAACTTAACGCGGTTGCACTTAGATGAAAATAACTAATATATTTTAAAAAATTGAGAGACTCAATCGATCTTTTTTTAAAAGAGTAAACTGAATTTCGAATCATAAATAAAAAAAAGAATATTTAGTCTAGTATTTATTTAAAGAAAATCAATAAAAAACAAAATATGTGAGTTTAAATAATTAATAGAAAGAAGCTAAAAAAAAATTAGATTGCCACTTGGAAAGCGGTTTATTTTATAAATGATTAAACAATAAAATTAAATAAATAAAAATAATTATAAAATCATCTATTATTTTAACTTCATAATTTTCTTTGATAACTTAACAATAATTTATATATAAGAGATTAATTTTTATTAATTAAGTAAACATAAAAATGAAAAGAATATGAAAAGTATTATATCAACTTAATTTTGACACCATTTATTTAAATAATTTAACAATTACCAAGTTGGTGGAGACATCAGTTGAAAATAAAGTTTTTTTTATGTTTAGTGAAAGTGTGAGAATATTAAAAGTTTGAATAGAAATTTGATAGATAGGAGAATTATTTATGAAAGAAAGAACTTTGTATTTTGCTTGATACAAAAGTGTAGAATTATTACAACTCCAGGAATAATTCTAGAGAGTTCTCAACTCTAGGAATTTCAAGAGCATTCTAAAAAATATTACAACCCTAAGAAATATCTAGACACTCTAAATATTACAAGAGTTTTTTAGAAACTCACACCATTTCTTATTGTAATCTTGATAGCACTTCCTTTTCTTCTCATGAACTCAAAATCAAGCTTCTCTCTCTTTGAAGAGTTTACAAAAGAAAAGATGATGCAACTTGTTGGAGAAAATAAAAATGGTCGCAACATTACAAACGTTACAACAACCAACGGAGGATCAGCTCATAATATATCAGATGACAACATCGACAATGTCGAATATAACTCCGAGTCTAAGGTAAGTAATTATTTCTACAAGTCTTATTAAATCGGATTGAACCACAATATTTTATTTTTTAAATATATAGTATAAGATTTGATACCGTTAGTATGTCTACATTTAACAAAAAATATTTAAATGAGATGATGGAGTCTCTTCCGATCTATTCAAAAATTTTGAATTCGAATCAAGTTTTGATTACATAGTAATTTTTAAGAAATTTCTTTTACTGTTTATTATAATTTTATATATATATATATATATATATATATATATATATATATATATATATATATATATATATATATATATATATATATATATATATATATATATATATATATATATATATATATATATATATATATATATATATATATATATATATATATATAAAGAATAAGTTCGAACTTGCGATATTTTATTAAGACATTAATAAAAAATTGTGTTATAAATTTATTATAATTCAATATTTTTATTATTTTAATTTCCTTTTAATAAAAATAATATCAGGAAAACTTAATTCACGGTCGGTTTATTTTTGTTATATTATTTTATTAAATAGAATAAATAGTGGCTTGCAATCCAACTTCCTAAACAAATCCCAACTGAGTTGGTTTAAAGGAAATTAATTACTTTATTAACAACTAACGTCCAAACGGGCACTCTCGTGTCCGTTTGTCCGTTTTTTCTACCGCGCTAACGCGTGAAAATATTAACAACGTCTTTTTTATAAGTTTGATTTTAATATAAAATATTTATATGATGAAATATATTGTATTTATTTAAATACATATTAAGTTTTATTTGTAATATGTAATATTTGTGTATTAAATTTTGTTTGAATGGAGAAAACTGCATTATGACGTGACTATATTTAACCGGTTTTTCAAGCAAATCAATAATGTGAGAGAAATAATTTGATGGTTACGAATACTGTATTAAGGAAAAAGAAAATAGGTTACACCAAAATTAAGTTTTATATTTATGTATTGTTATAGATTGTACAAAATTATACGAAGATTTAAATAAAATAAGAAGAAAAAAAATGTTTTTTTTTCACAATTTATTAAGCTAATAACATAAACATTAACAGAGACATTAAGTGACATTGTTGCTTAATAAAAAGGTCAACCATGAAATCGAAATCAAAAATATCTTTTGTTTTACTGTAAAACAAATGAAGTAAATTTTAGTAGTTAACAATATAGTGTAATATAGTGAGTGCACGCCAAGTGTGAATTTGCAAAAGTATAGTTGAATGTTTAAATATAATAGATAAATACATGAGTTTGTGACAATCATTTTTTTTAAAACTATATTTTTGGTAAACACCCCTTCTTTCCCATCTACTTTTCCGTCTTTAATTAACACTCTTGTGACAGCACACAAAACACCTTTTGATAAAGCAACGTACAATTATTGTGACTGAAAACATGTCGTGAAAGATAAATTCCAACATTTGAAATTGTTTGTCACTTGTGATTTGTTTATAGTGATTGCAAAACTTAGTTTGACATGAATCTTAATTTTTTTCATCTTCTTCCGTGGTTTTAAGCTTAATTCTTGGCAATAAAACTCTTTTTCCAACATTGTGTCCAATAAGTATTTCAACATCAAGCAAATTCATTAAAAAAAACCACGACATAACAACCTTGTACCATTATACAATTCAAATTTACTTTTGCAAGAAGTATCTAATTGTTTCCTGATCAAAAGTTTCAAATATGCATTTATATACATTTACTCAAATTTAATATAAACGTGATATATATATATATATATATATATATATATATATATATATATATATATATATATATATATATATATATATATATATATATATATATATATATATATATATATATATATATATATATATATATATATATATATATATATATATATATATATATATACACCATTCTCTATCACACAAACATAATTTTAAATAAAATATTGCATAGTGAGACATGAACATACTATATAAGGGACTATCTTGAGTTTTCAAGATATATAATGAAATAATACATTATGCTGTCAAAATCAAAGAACTTAATTTACCATAGTCAGGTTATGGTATATTAAAATTAATGGTAGCACGTATGACTTCTGCCACAGAGTATCACATTTTTCATATGTTTGTGAATTTCAGACGTAATGAGAATGTTTTCTTCGTCCAGAGTGGGTGTGGTCTTGATTGAAAATATGTTTCATCTCTCTTCAAGAATAAAAAGATCATTCATCAAAATTAAATAAATGAAAAAATTATAGAATGGAAAAAAGTTTTTAAAAAATAGTATGTAGATTAAGAAAGAGGTGAAATTTAAAAAAATAAATGGAAGATGTTTCTTAACTTTTGTCACAATTGATGGTTAATGGAAGTTATAGATGTAAGTTTTTTTGAGAGATAGAAGTTAACTATTCAATTGGTAACCAACAAAAGTTACCAACTACTCAAGTTATTTATAAAAAAGATAAAGGGCAATTTTGAAAAAAAAATAGGCCACACCAAAAACTTATATCCCCTTTGTATATAGTTATAGATAATCACCAACTAATACTTGAAAATATATTTTTTTAAAAATACAAATACAAATTACATAACTTAGACGGTGATCATTGTATAGTCACCTATTATTACTTAGATATATATTTTTTTTAAATGCAGAAACAGAAATACAAATTACACAACTTAGATGATAAAAAGATAACATAATAATAAATAAAAGAGAGTATCTTCTTCAACCTCCGAAACCGTATAAAGTTCTTCCTTGTCTCTTAAAAGTATACACAACATCCATGACAGTCACAACCTTTCTTCTTGCATGATTAGTATATGAAGCAGCATCATGAATATTTTTTGTCAAGAAAACCTTGAGAAATAACATAGTTTCTTCATATATCAAACCACTTATCCTCTTGACATCTCCTCTCTTAGCCAATCTACGAATCACTGGCTTTGTAATTGCCTATATGTTATCGTGCAGAATCATCTTGTGCCTCTTTGCTCCTCCCTTTCCGAGCCCCTTAATACCCTTTCTACGACTTGCCATTTTTGTAAGAAATTTTGAGAAATTGTTTATTCTTTTGAATTTTGAATGTGAAAAAGTAGAAGATGAAAGGAGTATTTATATATCATTCTGAGCGGGAAATGAAGAAACTGTTTATCCCCTATCGTTGGATTTAAAGTAATA